CATTTTTAAAGTATCTGAACCTCTAATCACTTATTATTTACCTTATGATGTCCAAATATATTCCTTTATATATTCTGCTTCAATTATATCCTTTATAACCGTTCGTAAATTGTTTGAAATATATCCAATGTTTCTACGTTTATTTGTTATTTTTACCAACGTTAATCTCTTCTGTTTTATTCATTAGTGTTTTGTTTTGGTCTTTTTATTATATAATGTCAACAAAAAGTCAAGTTCCGTCAGGCAATAACATAAAATATATTAAAACCTTTTAGAGTTATCAATGTAATATGTATAATTGAGGAAAATATACATCTCACACAGTATGCATAATTACGTCACAGGTTTTTCCCTTGAGGAGAGGCCCTTACGAGAGGAAATTTGGGGAATAATGAAAAAAAAAAAACCACAACACACCTTCACAACGCATTAAACTCAAAACGGGATTTACCTGAGACTGATAAATAATGCAGGTGTCATTATAGGTTAAGCCTCTTGGCGCTCCTAAGTACCTCTCCCTTTAAAGGAATAATCCAAAGACCGGAGCATTATTGAGCTAAAAAATGGAATCTTAAGGAAAACATGAACAGCGTGTAGCCAGCAAGGTGGACAAGATGAATTCCACAATATATTTTAACTGGTGTAGAACAGAGGAGGTGTTTTCGATACTCCTTATCTTGTATAAATCACTTTAAATAATATATCTCTCTGTATTTTAGTGTTTCATACCATAAAATAAGGAAGATGTGTGTGTAAAGAATGCTAATATAACCTTCTCCATTGGAATCTCTATCTATAGGTTAAGATAAAGTGAGTGTGTGTGTGTGTGCGTGTGTGTGTGTGTGTGTGTGTTGAGGGGTAGTGGTGGGGGAAAAAAAAGGTCTGGTTAGCTAAGGAAATTTCCCCAACCCCCCTTTCATTCATAGCCTATGGTGGGGATTGCAACTGTATGAATGAATTATGACGGGAAACTTGTATATACACGCTGGTAGGGAATTCAGGATTTTTTTTTTTTTTATAAATTCTTTGTTTGTTAAATGACGTCTTCAGTAGGCTTGGGAGAAGTACATGATGTTTACTGTAAGTGTATCGTGTTTACTGTAAGTGTATCGTGTTTACTATAAGTTTATTATGTGTCCTATAACCACTTCACTGAGATATAATTACTTAAAATCCGAAGCCAAGATCCGCTCTTTATACTGTAAAGTGTTTTAAGTTGACGTACAGCACAAGTATGAAGGACAGGTGGGAAAAAATGAAAGGAACTCGAGACTTAAAAGTTGTCAGATGTTAGACTCAAGTATTATAATGTCTGAGTAGGTGTTAAACTCAAATTAGTTCTAGGTTGACTCACACTTAATACGTTTTGAGAATTTTATGTCACACTAATGTTAACCCAATCATACTACTGTATATGTCTGCTTTTGTTAAGTTTTCTACACATACTTTAAGGAATTATCATCATTTATCTATCCTAATCGTTCATAAGTATAGCCATCTAGTGGTTTTAAGACCAGAGAAGAGTAAATGTCTTCCCTTATGGCTAGACATTGTTCAAACCACTAGCTATTTCACTCTAAGAACTATTGGCTTCATGATAACATTTTACTCTTATGTTTTTCTCTCTGTTAATCCATCTCGTTGAGTATTACACGCCGCTGAGCACGGTATTACTCAGCATCACACAACAACAGCCTGTACACACACAATACTCCAGGACTGATTAAGTCTCTTGCTGAAGTGAGATTAATAGTCTCCAAGCGTGAGAACAATACAAGTTGAGGCGGTGTTTTGGGAGTGAAGAATTTGTGGTGAATATATCAAGGGTAGAGAGAGAGAGAGAGAGAGAGAGAGAGAGAGAGAGAGAGATGCCAGTTTTTGTGAATGCAAATGAGAGGTAATTACAGATTTAGGTCATGTGTCTGTCTGTCTGTCTGTCTCTCTTTCGTGTTTACCTTTCTATCCGTATTTCACTTTAGTTGATGAAGAAAGAAGCCTGGATATTTCTATGAATAAACAAGGACGGATGGCGGATGACCGTGACGGGTGACTGTTGACGGGTGGATAATGACGGATGGCGGATGACCGTGACGGGTGACTGTTGACGGGTGGATAATGACGGATGGATGGATGGAGGCCATAATCAGGTAGATGCACAAGTGCTCAGGTGAGCTTAATTAACCATGAGATCTATCGTAAATACACAGCTACAATACTTCATGTGAGTTTCTTTTACCTCCTTACTACCAGTTAATAAATCAGATTAGGTTTATATACCAGCAACTAACTGAAGACAGACTGGTGATGATGGACTGTCTGGAAAGGAAAGACACCACATGTTATTACCACTTTAATAAACTAAAACCCTTAACTGACTATTGTGTACTTGTACAGTACTTCTGGGAGTCTCCTATAACCGACAGAGGATTAGGTGTATCGTCTGTTGAACAAATCATCGTGTAGTGTAGTGTACATTTCGCAGTAGATAAGAATTATTTTTTTTTTATACGTGTTTTTTTTTTTTTGTGTTTTTTACTCCGGTCCACATTTAGTCTCATGCGTCATACAAACACTCCCGGTCAACTCCACACTCCTGCACCACTAGTGTAAAAGTTCCATTTTTTTATATGTATTTTTAAACACTACATCAGTCCAATTTCATACTTGGTTTTGATGCTAGAAATGAGTTCATTAGTATCAGAGTTAATATCAGGTGTAGACATTAAAAATACCTTTCCTGTCAGTTTTTTGGGGGCTAAGGATTATAAACTTTTTAACGTAATGTGTATTTAAAGTAGGGAGAGAAACCCCGTAACTTCTAATAACTTCAGTTTGTTAAGGATGATGGTTTAGAGCGATGTTGTCACTTACAATACACAATATAACGATAGTTTCTAAATAGACATTAATGCAACATATTTATATTTACTTGAATATTAACTATGAAGCTTAAGACACGACTACTGCCTGAGGTGTATACAATACTTGAAGGTTTAATGATATACATTTTAATTATTTTAGAAGTCACGTCTAGATTTTCGTAATGCGGGATGCTTGATTTTAATCTCGGAACAACTCATAATTCATAATCTTCAGCTTCCGGCAAATCATTAAAAGCTTGACCCCAGGGTTAATATTTATTCCAGGTAATGTTTGACGGATTCCTGTTTGAGGTCATCACTTTTTGTAACAAGATAATTAACTCTGGTTTCATGCTTGTCTACTGCACCAAGAGCTGATCCCTTATGTGCTGATAAAATAAATTGTTTATTGTTGTCTAAAAAAAATGGTATTTAATTATGCCGTTAAATATATATATATATATATATATATATATATATATATATATATATATATATATATATATATATATATATATATATATATATATATATATATATATATATATATATATATATATATATATATACATATACATATACATATACATATTTATGTATGGTCACTCATCAGTCTACAAAACACAAAATTCAATATTCCAAACTTCATCAAAAGTTTAAGGTCGCGCCAAAATATTACTCCACCCAAAAAGTTAAAATAAAGGTAATTCTTCATCAAAGTCAAAACAATGTAGTTATAATCAAGTAAGATTTCAACTTTTTAATGAATGGTATAAAAAAATATTCACACAACAAAATTTATTCAAATTTAGTCGAAAGTCGGGAGGCAAAGTTTACAGCCGGGCGATAAAGTTCTGGGAGCCGAGCAGAACGGTGAGGCTCCATTTGAGTAATGAAAGAGGCCAAGAGCTGTGTCGGCTGACTTTATCACCCTAATGGCTTTTCTTGTCAGGCCGAGGACTTGCCAGACACGCCCCAACACACACACACACACACATACACACACACGCTTCACATGTTCATACACACAAACACACACGCATTAACACACACACTCAGTTTGCACAAATTTACATAAAAACATACATATTCTACACGTTGGTCACACACACACACACACACACACACACACACACACACACACACACACACACACATGTACATTTTCCATATACAAAAATTGTTTCGGAAAAGTCACCATCTGGAAATATTAAAATTACCTCTGAACTGTTAGACGTTTGCCTGTTTACTTCTTGTTCTTGAAGGAGACAACTAAAGTAATCACATTCTACCTTTAAAAACACCTACACATAATTTGTAATGATTTGACAGTTCTTGACATGGGAGTGTATCATAAGTGTAAGAATCTGTTGATCTGTTTATCACTCATGTGTATCGTGTTGGAGCGATGATTGATAAATGATAAAGAATAAATACTAAGGTTTATGAGTTGCTGCTGCTGCTATAGGGGATACACTTACACTTGGTACTCATTTTTATTAACCCTTTGAGGATGGACTTACGTAAAGACTTAAAAAATCGTACTCAAGGGCTTTAGACATTTTACTCAAGGGTTTAAGACATCGTACTCAAGGGTTTAAGACATCGTACTCAAGGGTTTAAGACATCGTACTCAAGGGCTTAAGACATCGTACTCAAGGGTTTAAGACATCGTACTCAAGGGTTTAAGACATCGTACTCAAGGGCTTAAGACATCGTACTCAAGGGTTTAAGACATCGTACTCAAGGGTTTAAGACATCGTACTCAAGGGCTTTAGACATTTTACTCAAGGGTTTAAGACATCGTACTCAAGGGTTTAAGACATCGTACTCAAGGGCTTAAGACATCGTACTCAAGGATTTAAGACATCGTACTCAAGGGCTTTAGACATTTTACTCAAGGGGCTAACATATCGTACTCAAGGGGTTAATGAATGAATATGTAATTAATTCCACTCCCCTCTCATTTTTCTGGGTAAAATTTTCAGTCTTATTTAATATGAAAACCAACTAACTTATCCCATACACTCTTAGCAGATTGGATACCGTGATATATTATATAGGGTGTCCCAGAAAAATGTCCCTGCCTCCCTGTCGCACCCTGCCTCCCTGCCTGAGACACCGTAAGTTGGAGGGAGGGAGAGAGGGAGGGAGGCAGGGTGCGGGTAAGAAGGAAGGGAGGTAGGGAGCTAGCAGGGAGGGAGGCAGGGTGCGAGTAGGGAGGAAACCTTGAATCCTAAACCACACAAGACAGTTTTCTTCTTGTCGTTGAGAAAGTGTGGAGCTCCTGGTGGGTCCTTAGCTCCTTGGCTGGTCAGGTGTAAACGCCACGACCACCCCACCAGCCAGTTCCTCTAACGTAACTCCTTCAGAAAATATTTAAGTTATGGTTAAAAATAGTACTAACAGCTGAGGTTAAATTTTTGTAAGTCCAGTTTATATTCTAATTGGTTAGTTTAGATTAGGTTAAGTTAGTCTAGAGTAGATTTTGTTAGGTTAGCTTAGGATTAGTTTAGTTAGATTTAATTTGGTCAGGTTGATTGAAAAAAGGTAAAATTACATTGGGTTACATTCCTTTCTTTATAATACGTTGGGTTATGAGGTGTTATGTTTAGGTAGTGAGCGTGTGGAACTAACTAGCCTGACCCTCTTCAACGCCTAGTACTTGGAACAAACTAGCCTGACCCTCTTCACTGCCTAGTACTTGGAACAAACTAGCCTGACCCTCTTCAACGCCTAGTACATGGAACAAACTAGCCTGACCCTCTTCAACGCCTAGTACATGGAACAAACTAGCCTGACCCTCTTCACTGCCTAGTACATGGAACAAACTAGCCTGATCACTTTCAACCTAACCTAACGTAACCTAACCTAACAAATTGACCTTCGTGTTGGTAATTTACGTGTTGGAAAGGGCGTATCAGTTTCCGGTTGAAGAAATAAATATAATGGCTTAGATGATCGATAAAACGTGTAAGTTAAAAAGAGACTTAGACGGGAATAAAGTTTGGTTAGGATAGGTTATCGGAACCATTGACGTCTTTAATTATAACTAAACAAACGCAACTCACCCCAATCCTAACCTAACCTAACCAAACCTACCCGAACGCAAGGAAGTTTTAACAATAATAATATAACCTCGTATAATAATCTATCTGTTTTTAGGCACAAATAATGAGACAACACTACACGCCTCAGTACTCTATCTAATGAAGGTAAGTGGTCAGGTTATGGTAACTGTACACTGAAATAAGTCGGTGTTTCAAGAGTTTTTCTTTTTATTATTTCTGTTGATTTTCCTTTCTTCCCGTGCGGTGTTTAGACGTGCGTAAAGTAGGGACACTGTAGCGTGACAAGTCCGAACACACACACACACACACACAGAGTCATGCCAAGTCTGATATCTGTTAGTTGTTACCTTCCCTTCCTTACTCTATACACACACTACAACACAGGTTAAGTGTGACGTTAGGTAGTGTGACGCCTTCTCTCCCCCATACTTACACTATAACATAAGCTAAGTGTGACGGCAGTAAGCTCAGTTACCCCGACACACTATAATTATTCTTGCTATCAGCTTAAGTGTGTCATTAGGCAGCTTTAACACAAACTCATTATATTTCTTGTTACAGTCAGCTTAAATGTGACGTTTGGTAGCATGACCCTTACACATACTCACCACAATGCTTAATTTAGTTGAGGTAATGGGTGTTTAACTCCTTCTTACCCCCAAAAATTATGGTTATAAGTTTGATAAGAGTGAAAAAAAAGATAATAATAATAATAATAATAAAAAAAAAATAATAATAATAAAATAATAATAATAATAATATCAATAATAATAGTTACATTAATATACCAAATACACTAGGAACAACTTACTGCTAGTGTTCAGCTACAAAAATCAAAGCAGTAAGCACGGGGTTTCATCAGTCCCATGGGAGACTCATGTACACAGTCGTAGTTCCACAAACACAACAACATTTTAAACAATATTTTTTCCCCCCCGCTTGACTGTAATGTATTTTCAGTAAAGCATAATACCTTAACAAATGGACCGTATATTAGCGATTAAAACGTTGGCTTTAGCTCCATTGTTAATACGGTTATATAATAGTAAAATTGTCGTATAATTTGTTAGTAAAATGCCGTGTGCTAGAGAACACTCAGGAGGGGAAGAGGAGGTAGAGAATTAGCGTGGATTTGGTGAGGAGAGGAGTGACTTATGAGTGTGACGTATGAGTGTGACTTATGAGTGTGACTTATGAGTGTGACATATGAGTGTGACTTATGAGTGTGACTTATGAGTGTGACATATGAGTGTGACATATGAGTGTGACTTATGAGTGTGACTTATGAGTGTGACATATGAGTGTGACTTATGAGTGTGACTTATGAGTGTGACTTATGAGTGTGACATATGAGTGTGACTTATGAGTGTGACTTATGAGTGTGACATATGAGTGTGACTTATGAGTGTGACTTATGAGTGACTTATGAGTGTGACATATGAGTGTGACTTATAGAGTGTGACTTGGCAGAGTGTGACATATGAGTGTGACTATGAGTGACTCTATGAGTGTGACATATGAGTGTGACTTATGAGTGACTTATGAGTGTGACTTATGAGTGTGGGACTTATGAGTGTGACATATGAGGTGACATATGAGTGTGACTTATGAGTGTGACTTATGAGTGTGACATATGAGTGTGACATATGAGTGTGACTTATGAGTGTGACTTATGAGTGTGGCTTATGAGTGTGACATGGTGAGTGACTTATGAGAGTGACTTATGAGCAGGACTTATGAGTGTGACATATGTGTGACTTATGAGACATATGAGTGTGGACTTATGAGTGTGACTCCTATGAGTGTGACTTATGAGTGTGAGACATGTGAGTGACTCTATGAGAGTGACTTGAGGAGTGTGACTTATGAGTGTGACATGAGTGACTTATGAGTGACTCCAGAGTGTGACTTATGAGAGTGACTTCAGAGAGGACTTATGAGTGTGACTCTAAGGAGTGTGACTTATGAGTGTGCTTTTATGAGTGTGACATGTGTGAGTGACTTATGAGGAGGACTTTATGAGCGTGACTATGAGAGTGACTGAGGAGGTGACTTATGAGTGTGACATATGAGTGTGACTTATGAGTGTGGACATATGAGTGTGACTGGTGAGTGTGACTTATGAGGTGACTTATGAGTGTGACATGTGAGTGACTTATGAGAGTGACTTAGAGTGTGGACGATGAGTGTGACATGTGAGAGTGACTTATGAGAGTGACTTATGAGTGTGACTTATGAGAGTGACTTATGAGAGTGATTTATGAGTGTGACTTATGAGTGTGACTTATGAGTGTGATATGTGAGAGTGACTTATGAGTGTGACATGTGAGAGTGACTTATGAGAGTGACTTATGAGTGTGACTTATGAGTGTGACATGTGAGAGTGACTTATGAGAGTGACTTATGAGTGTGACTTATGAGTGTGACATATGAGTGTGACTTATGAGTGTGACTTATGAGTGTGACTTCATTGTTAAGACAAAAAATATCAAAGGCTATCGAATCTTGAGTCATTTTAGCAGAGGGTATATTTAAGTATTAAGGTTACCTGGTGTCTTTACCTGTAATTAACCTGATCTAGACTTTGTTTCTCCCTCTATATCTCCGTGTGGATGGCTATATAATAACCTGGACACACACACGCACACGCACACACGCACACACACACCACACCACACCACATCACACACCACAGCACACCACACCCACACACATACACAAACACATACACACCACAGCACACCACACACACACACACACACACACACACACACCACACCACACCACACCACACCACACACCACACCACACCACACCAAAAAAAAAAATCATTGAAATATTTCCAAGTTCAAGAAAAGATTTACCATCTAGCTCAGACTAACTCTCACATCTAAGAATCATACTCTGGGTGTGATAAAGTTCGCACTCACAATAATAAGTCTAGTAGAAAACACACGAGCATGGGGCAAACACTTCACATTTTCCGCTCTACCTTTGGGTCATAGGTAAGCTGGTGGTAAACTCCTTGTCTTGCTCGCCGTTCCCTCGCTATATTTACTCCGTTGTTCTTTCTTCTTCTTCTTCTTCTTCTCTCTCGTTTGTGGCGATAAATATTCATTCTTTTTATAGCTGTGAGGATGATAGAGAACGGGGGAGTTAAGTAGAGACGGAGTAGTTGGTAAGGAGGAGGAGGAGGTGGAGGTGGGATTGGAGGGAGATAGTGAGAGACAGAAATAGACAGAGAGAAAACCAATAGACAGGAATAGAAACAGACAGACAGGCAGACCGACAGACAGTGAAAGCCAGCCAGACAAAATAGATAATCACAGACAGAAACAGAAAGAAAACTGACAAAAAGATAGACAAATATAATCGACTAGACAAATAGACAAATTCACCGACTAACAAAACTAAAACTAATAACTTAATGTAAGAATAAGGACAGGAAGAAGGGCAGGAAGAAGGACAGGAAGAAGGACAGGAAGAAGGACAGGAAGAAGGACAGGAAGAAGGACAGGAAGAAGGACAGGAAGAAGGACAGGAAGAAGGACAGGAAGGAGGACAGGAAGAAGGACAGGAAGAAGGACAGGAAGAAGGACAGGAAGAAGGACAGGAAGAAGGACAGGAAGAAGGACAGGAAGAAGGACAGGAAGAAGGACAGGAAGAAGGACAGGAAGGAGGACAGGAAGAAGGACAGGAAGGAGGACAGGAGAAGGACAGGAAGAAGGACAGGAAGAAGGACAGGAAGAAGGACAGGGAAGAAGGACAGGAAGAAGGACAAGAAGGAGGACAGGAAGAAGGACAGGAAGAAGGACAGGAAGAAGGACAGGAAGAAGGGCAGGAAGAAGGACAGGAAGAAGGACAGGAAGAAGGACAGGAAGAAGGACAGGAAGAAGGACAGGAAGGAGGACAGGAAGAAGGACAGGAAGAAGGACAGGAAGAAGGACAGGAAGGAGGACAGGAAGAAGAAATTTATACATCTTATCTTCTGCAGCATCTTTGAATTGATCAGAGATAAGATGTGTTACCTGAGGCTCTCCTGCAGATCTGGTAACTGTGTAGGACAGGTAAGTAATAATGACTTGAATATACACGGGTAAAAATCCTTGGACATTATTTTTGCAATATTTGGCATCGTTCTTGAGGATCTTGTTCGTGTTTGACTTATCGTGTGTTTAACCATATTTATCTTACTATTAGATAATGTTTTTTTTATATGTTTTATGTAATATATAAAGCAACATTCACACCTATTATTATATTAGAGGTTATAACAAATATTTTATCAGATTACTACATATTGATTTATTTTACCTTGGGATTAATATATTCATTCACTAAACAGAAATACTTAATTAACAGCAAGACGGCATTCAGGTAGGTAGGTATAGGTTAGCAACGTGGCGGAGTTCTGCTGAGGAAGCAATTGGTAAATGAACCGCTGTCATGTTGAGTAGCGGACATTCCAGATACGAGTAATGGCTCCTTTCAGATAACTCGGAGGTCGACCCATCATGCACACCCACCCCTGTCAACCCTGATAGTGACGGAGTGATGGCCTGGACGCTGATAGTGACATTGTTATAGCCTGGACTCACCCTCCCACCTACCTATACGACGTGTTGAAGGGTGGGGGGGGGTGGGGTGGGGGGGGGGCGAGGGACGTGCTTCCTCTTCAGTTTGGTTGGATTTCTATGCACTCTACATCGGGTGGGTACCAGGGCCTGTAGTCTTATCTGGCTAGCACACGAGGGTAAAATATAATGTAAAGTAATGAATAAATATTAAACGGCAAGGAAAAAATGAAATTCTTAACGTAGATAATATTAATGGAGCTAATAAAGAGTAGATATATAAGTAAGATATATAATTAAGATATGTAGTTAAGATGATGAACACTAGTCATGAGTCTGATGAAATGCCGTGTTGTTCGCCTCTAGAGATACATGATTACATTACTTATATCTTTGAATTCCTTGAATACAATGCAAATTTTCCGTAAATAGTGAATTAGCCCATTAACTAAGATATATCAACCCCTTGAGTACGGTTTTAACCCTGTCAATACGATGACCTATTAGTGTATGATGATATGATACTCAGGGGATTAAGTCATCATAGTCAAGGGGTTAAGAATAGTGTCTAATGGCTACATGAGAAAAGACATAAAATACAACGTTATGTTTTCCTAAAAAAAAATCATTGAAAAGGTATGTCTTATTAATTAGTAACAACACAACCTGTCTTCTCTCAAGGTGCCCAAGGTAAAACAAAACAAGTAGACTTAACATGTTAGATATGATAAGGCTCTGCTTTTGGAAATAAAACACCCGTTAACACTGTCTCCTGGGGAATAATTTATGACTGTGAGGAAATAATCAGAATGTAAACAAGGTCTTTTTTTTATGCGTGAGAAATATATTTGCATTATAAAAAAAAAAATGTACCCGATAACTAAAGAGGAAGAGTAGTGATTTTTTTTTTACACCGGATTGAAAAGTTAAATCGTTTTTGAGTCTGGTTATGAACAAGAGTTGCTATCACGTACACACACACACACACACACACACACACACACACACACACACACACACACACACACACACACACGAGTTAAGGTCATGTCAGGGATTCAAGGAAGTAATTAACGACCGAGAGACCGATGGCTGTAGTAGTGTATGTGACTGATGAATATGGTCTACTCCCCCCTTCTTTATGGTCTACCCCCCTCCATTTACTGTCTTCCTCCCCCTCCTTACTGTCTCCCTCCCCTCTTTATTGTCTCTCCCCCCCTCCTTACTGCTTCCCTCCCTCCCTCTCTCACCTTATTGCCCTTTTCCTCCCTTTTCAATTGTCCCCTACCCCCTCCTCCCTCCCTCCCCTCCCTCCCCTCTCCCTTCTCCCTGCTCCCCCCCCAAGCAATCTTCAATCTAGCGTCTCGATTCACAAAGGCTCACACATAGATATAGCTCCTTATCTCCTAATTGGTTATGAGACAACGCCCCCAGCGACGGTAAAGTCTCAGACCAATTTCAGCGACATTTTTTACCCTATTTTATGCTGAACATCGAGTCGTATTCTTAAAGCCCCAGTTAGGTTAGGTTAGGTTAGGTTAGGTTAAAAAAACAATGACCATACCAGTAGAATACGCCATAATAACCTGTCTACTGGTCAATCACGCCTTAATATCCTATCTAGTGGTCAATCACGCCTTAGTAACCTGTCCATAGCTCCACAATAAAACCTGTGACGTCATTATTACACACTAAAATATCCCACGTCATCTGTTTGCTCCAGTGTGAAATGAGTGACGTTCACAGCATCGGTGCCATGGTAACCAGTGTAATGTGAACGGTTTATGGGTCTGGTGGCTGAGGCGTATGGAGAGAGAGAGAGAGAGAGAGAGAGAGAGAGGTGAAATAAGATAAAATAGTTGATTGCAGGAAGTCGGAAAAGTAAATAAGGAGAGTTGGTGGTGAGGGAAAGTGATTTGTGAAAGTTAGGTGATGGTGAAGAGGGAAAAAATAATGTTAAGAAAAAGTTGCTGGTAAGAGTGAATGGACGTTAGAAGAGTAAATGTACGTATAGTGAGAATTAAATAAACGTGATAAAAAGGAAATAGACAGAGAGAAAGTGAAAAAAAGTTAGTGATAATAAAGATAGGAAATGAAAGTAGAGAAATTGAGTGTAAATAGTGAGAGGGAATTAGTGAGAGGGAATGAGTAGATAATGGCATGAGTGGTAGTGAGGAGAGAATAACCCACTCAGGAATGCACTAGGTGAGGGGAGAGGGAAATATGCACGATGAGGGGACGTGGAGAGGAATAAGGGGGAATAGAAAGTGAAACACAGTGAGAGGTTAGAGGGGATGGAATAGGAGATGGAGTGGGTGGGAAGGGGATGGGTGGAAAGGGGATGGGTGGGAAGGGGATGGGTGGGAAGGGGATGGGTGGGAAGGGGATGGGTGGGATGGAGTGGGTGGTAAGGGGAGGGGAGGGGGTCTGGTAAAAGGGTGATAAGGGGAATGGATGATAAGGGAAATAAACCACACTACGATACTATACAAACCTTGACTGCAATATCCCCAAAAAAAACTTCCTGGCGCACCCGTTCACCCTCACTCACAACCAGCGAATATATTGAAGGTGTTCCAGGAAAAGCCCGACAGTTCCTTGAGTAACCTTCTATAGCGGATAAAAGACTTATGTCAATAGAGGTAATAAGTATATGGTAGAGATGCTCAGTAGAGAAGCTTTCAGAGTAGAGAGGGAAGTACTGCATGCTTAATCTTTCAGAGTAGGGAGGGAAGTACTGCATGCTTAGTCTTTCATAGTAGAGAGGGAAGTACTGCTTAGTCTTTCAGAGTAGAGAGGAGTGTGATTATATACCTTGTACCTATAATTTATTTGTAGGGGAATTTTTGGAGGAAAATTTAAAACCTTGATGATTTAATATTATACGAAGAGTAAATTGTGAGAAAGTGTTGTGGATTTTGTGTATGTGTGTGTGTGTGTGTGTGTGTGTGTGTGTTGAGGCAGCAGAATGATTGGTCTGAAAGGCAGGTGTAGCTATGGGCAGTTGAGTAGGGATAGTGGACAGCAGGTGTGTGGAGGGGAAACGGTGTGGAGTGGTGTGGAGTGGAGTGGAGTGGTGTGCAGTGTATAAGTGGAGTGTTACCTCGAAGCGTACTCTTGTCACTAGGCGTCTTGTCACTAGTTAAAAATTGGCCAGATCTTTACTTTTTTTCTAACTGCGATCACTACAACTCGAGGTCCATCCCCAATCACAATATACTATTATTCATTTTCTCATTTCTGTTGTTATTATTCATTTAAAAGAACACTCATTACATTATCACCACTAAAAAAATGAACACCAAAGACATCTCCATACTGATCTTTACAATAAACATCCTCTTAAGGTAATTACAATGAGTTAACTTATCATATCTATTCATTATATATCCTAAAATCACAATGAATTATTATCCTACGGTGAATATAACATCAATGTAACTCTAATTCTTCATTATTCAACTTTACTTCATTATACCCACGTCATTCAAAATCACATCAAATTTTTTTACATTTCACTAACATCACTAAGCGATACACATAGACACCTATGTATATACAAATAATTTAGTAGTATAGTGTATAGATCGCTTCAACCTCTCCCAACCTTCCCCTTCATTAAATGCTATCAGGTCGTATCGTAGTTCCTCCTCTTGTTAAACATTTTGATAGTTTGCTAGTGAGCCACACCCTTTTGGTTCCATACCCTGTGATGGTGTGGTTGGTGGTGGTGGTGGTGGTTGTGTTGGTGTGGGTGGTGGCTGGTGTTGTTGTTGTTGTTGGTGGTGGTGGTGGTATGGGTGGTCGTGGTTGGTGGTAGTGGTGTTATTGTTGGTGATTTTGGTGGTTGTTGTTGTTGTGGGTGGTTGTGTTGTTGTTGTAGTTAGTGGTTGCTGTTCTTACTGTTATCGTTATGATGTTCCATACAATACTCTGCTGTTCTTTCTGTTGTTCTTCCTCTCGCTGGTCTTCCCGTAGTTCATCCTGCTTCTCGACCTTTTGCTTCTCCTCTCGCTGTTCTTCCTCCTCCTGCTGCTGTTGTTTCTTGTTGAGATTTATGTCATTGCTTTCCGCTTTGCTTGATATTTTTGAAGAGTTAGTGTTGTTGTCGTTGTTATAGTTATTGTTGTTATTATTATTGTTAATGTTGTTGTTGTTGTTATTATTGTTATTTACCACCCTAACCTAACCTCACCTCACCTAGTACTATAAATGAAACGATATCGGGCGATTATCCTTTGACCTCTCTCTCTCTCTCTCTCTCTCTGTGTTTACACTTCCGAGTGGGTTAAAATTTTTACTCTATTAGTCCTAAAAAAAATCCTTATTAACTCGCCGTAATAAAAAAGGAATATTATTGTATTGTTGTCAGAGGCCATAGAGCAGGACGAGATGAATCCAAAAAATAAAAGTTATATTGTTTGGAAAGCTGATTGCCGGTGGGAAAAATCACACAAATTATTCAACACTGATTCCCCTCAACTGCAAAAGAAAATCACACTTTTATTAGTAACCAGGAAATAATTGGTATTGAGTTTAAGTTGATAGTCACATGGGAATTATTAGTATTAATGATAGTAACTTTTTGCTATTTAGAAGTTATTAAAATTGGTTTAACTTATTTGATATTATTAGTGTTATAAGCTAAATTGTTAGTTAGATAAATTATTAGTATTTATATTAGTAAATTAATGTTGATGCTACTAATTTTACAATACATTAAATTATCCAAATTCATGCTAGTAAATTAATAGATAACATTATATTAGTACTAGTATATTATCAGCTATTTAGACATTATCAACAAAATAGCAACAAAATAGTAAATAAAACTATTATTACTCAATATTTCAAGTAATTACTTAAATAGGCGCAAGACATTCACATTAATTACAACAGTGCTTAAGTTTCAATGCTAAAAATACGTAGAATTATATACCACACAACACACGAGGAAACACGAGAGAAGAAGAGAGGAATCAGCCAACGTAATTCTTGAGTATTTTTGTCGAATTTATTTCTGTGACCGAGGAATTTTTGTCAGGTCGTGGGATTGGTAGACTCATCACTAGCTCCTTCTCTATGGAGCCGCTAGACAATTTAATTCAGTTCAGAGGGGAGCTAGTATATGTGGCTAGTAGTATGTGAGGCAGCAGCATGTGAGCCAAGCACTATGCGGGTTTTAGTATGTGGGGCCAAGCACTATGTGAGAGTTATTAGTATGTGGGGCCAGGCCCTATATGGGGCTAGTAGTATATGGGGCTAGCATTATGTGGGCCTATAGTAATATGTGGGACTAGCACTATGTGGGGCTATTAGTATGTGGGGCCAAACACTATGTGAGGCTAATAGTATATGGGGCTAGCATTATGTGGGCCTATAGTAATATGTGGGACTAGCACTATGTGGGGCTATTAGTATGTGGGGCCAAGCACTATGTGGGGCTAGTAGTATATGGGACTAGCACTATGTAGGCCTATAGTAGTATGTGGGACAAGCATTATGTTGCCCTGTAGTAATATACAGGAAAGTAACACAGGGTATCTAGTTTATCATGGATTTGGGAAGGTCTGTACTGTTATGGGAAGGTGTTCTGGTCGCTGGGATTTATTTCTTTGCATTAGTAGTTTTTTGACAGTAAGCGCCGAGACAAAATGTTTGATGCGTTTGGATTTGTTTAGGACAAATAAGATCATGAGGGACCCTACAACATCGTTCAGTGTTAGTGCTTGTGGGGAAAGGAAATCCAAGAGGTAACCCGAGCGGTAATGTTGGTAGCCATAATTTTTTTTTCTGAAAAGTAAACAACTCACTAGCTTACCCTCGAGTTTCCAAATCAGAGAGCACCTGTACTGACTGATGCACCGTCCTGAAGCAGAGAGAGCTCGAGCGGCCTGCCCCTCCCCCCGCCGTCTCGGTGTTTACAAACTAACTCAACTCCTCTCTGCTGTCGTATCAGTCACGAGGAGGTAAGGAGGCCAGGGGTTCTCATCACACACATACAAACACACACGTCCCTCCCTCCACCTTCTCTACTTTACTTTCATAACTATCAGATATCAACTTTGTACCTTCCCCTTCCTTCTGTCTCTCTCATGTCCTTATGTATTCACTGTTACTGTTGCCTATACTGTTTCCTCATCACCTCGTACACGGTAATGTCAAGATTAAGCTCTTCTCAGACCACCAAAACTATGAACCCCATCCTAGGCTCGAGTTAACATCCCAGATAACTTTAACATGCGCTTAAAGTCTACAACAAAGGGGGGTACACTGGACATACACCTGAGTCAGTGGATGAATTTTATTGTGATCTTGTTACTGTCATTACCACATATTATTCTGCCTGGATAAAGTCAAGTAGGAATGGGAGTGGACATATGACCCTGTACTCCTCAAAGAAAGGGAGAGGGTAAAGCGATTTGAAAACACCCATAAACATGACAATACCTACTGGCACTCATCAAAGCAGTTGTATCAATTACAAGTATGACAATATTATGTGACAAAAGGTACCGGTATGGCCAGCACAAGAACAGAATCAGATAATGTGATGTAGTCGTGGCCAGAATTGACTAGGATACATGCACATTTGCCAAGTTAGAGAGGCTCAGCATGTAAATTTTGTGATAAACCTGTAACGCAAACTCTTGAACATTAGTTATTAATGTTATACTGTCAAAGACTGCACACCATCTCGCCCATTACTCAGTATATCATGAATTATATATCTTCAGTGACAATTCATCCCAAACTCGCTTCTCCACACCTATCTTTAACTTGTATTATGAATATGTTTAACTTTATTATCTCTAGTTGTATATGAACCTCTGTCCTGTGTGGCAGTGAACAATATTGGCATGATTTCTGCCAATTCCTGATTGAACTACTGAGATTAAGTAAAATTGTATTCCAATCTGATCAGTAAATTTGCTCAAGTAGTTGGTAACCAAAGTTCCTTCCCTGTGACCTTAGCCTCCTCGCCTGGCTGTAT